CAACGTAGACGGTCTATGCCTAGTGATTGTGGACCTAGTGGAGTTGGACGTGAATGGTGCGACCAACAACTAAATTCAAAGTCACATCTTGCGTTCAGCACCTAACATGGATTACTCCTTCGTTGTATCAAGGTACCATGGCTGCTTTGAAGACCGTATAGCACAAAGTTCTTTATTACCAAAATGTATTAGTTAGAGTAGGTGCAAGAGGAAGTGTGACCTTCATCTCATGGGCCGGTCCATGGAGTGAGATTAACTGATGCGCATCAGCTACCCTTAACCATACAAGGGATCGATGAATTGTTCGACATTCAGTGACCCAAATGACTGATTATTTGGCTAGTGCTCAGTGACATTTCACTGGTCCTACACAGTATTTTAGTAGTTTGTTCATAGCACCATATATTTTACAGTGAATTTTTCAAGCTTTAGTCGTCTCACAGTTACTGTTTCACTACACCAAATATACAATGCAAATATTAGCTAAATGATATTTGAATTGTAAACTACTTGACTGTCCTTTGGACGGATGGTAACGACGGAGATGATCATAAATCCTTATGACAAACCAATGTTGACATACTAGTGATCTTCATTACAATATTGCTCAAATTTAATGTTTCCAACGTATTTAAAACTACGTTTTAGATGTTATGAATATAAATGTGAACAATGCTTCAGCTCAGTCTACAAGCACACTTATCCTTTGCACCAGCCATCAGAATCTTCCGAGTATAAATTTCAACTAGATAGGCTTAAGAAGGAAAGTGGGTTTCGTAATCTCTGTGATATCGAAATCACTTACATGACATGACTTTTTTCTGATTCCTATTTCCGGTGATATATGCATCAAAATAATCTGAATTAGACAGTCACTCAATATGATACATATATATTCCACCTGTTACCTCAAGTGGAGCATGAATTGACGACTACGAATAATCTAGTCGATTTGTCCTTGGGAATTTCCTCGCAAATGTTGCCATACGCTATCAGTTTCTTTGATGACTGCCTCTGATTCCCAACACCATGTGCTCTTGTTTCTCACTCCATTATTTTTATCACCAGGCTTCCAAGTTAGCGCTTGCTTCACGGTACAGTCTGATGATTTCCACTATGTGTGTCCTGACAATCATCAGCGTTTCCCTCTAATTTCCTGTCCCGCTGGATCCTGGTCTGTTCTCGGACACATTAGGTTGTTGCCTATTGTGTCTGTCCAATGGATAGGCAATGTGTTGCGTAGATATCTGTTTATAATTAACTGTACCCTTTGATGATAGTTATGATAGTCCTCCAGGTTTCAGCCTCGTGTAATAAAAATATTCTGAGGTCTGTAATGAAACTTCTGACTTCGGTGTTGGATGACGGACGGCTGCTTTGAGTTCTGGATGTTAATCAATTGTAGAAATCTATTCAATATGATAACTTGCACTAAACTATAATTATTTAATATGTAAACTATTTTATTATTCTTTATACATGCACTCCGATTAGGTGAAGTCGATTCGACGATACGAACAAAAAGTGTTTTTTTTGTAATTTCACTCATATTGTAATGGTGTCCAAATCATCATGTATGATGTTGTCAACGAATTGTGTTTTCTTTCTATTGCACAGTGACCAAGGATAAACGCTTCAGAAGAAGACGAGCAAGCTCTGAATGCACTGAACTTACGAGATGACTCATAAGACTATTTTGTTAACTAGCTTCTCTTTTTGTACATGGCACCCGAATTTTAATTTTCGAAAATAAGAGAAACTAGGCTTCCATCCCATGTTCTCTCCTAATGTGAAGTTCTCAGCTAACATTGTGTGTTGTGGTCTCAGGTCTTCCCCGACATTTTGTGACTGCTGATAACACCTGTTACAATACAAGTTTATTATTTCAATTCACGAGTGACTTCAGTGTATATCCTCTATCACTAAGGATATATGAAGAATATTTTCACTATACATTAGTCATCAAAACGATGATCTTAGATAAAGATTACCTTAATATGTAAACAATATTGATGGAAGATGCATTAGTTCAAAGCAAGATAGCTTTTGTGTTTGAATTTATAACCTAATCAACATACTTTGAGTTTTTCATGAATTCATTAGATAGACTGAAGGGAAAAGGCTGAGAAGTTATTTAACATATTGTAGATCAGAGGGATGAAAAGGTGAAAAGCCATACCACGATACATGAATCTAAAGGATATTAGACAGGTGACATAATAATAACAACAAGTTTTAAGCATATTCACAATTAATCTTGATTGTCATTTTCATAGATTTGAATGTGTACAGTATCAAGGCACTTTATTATATGATCTACGTTATGAGTACATTTCATATTATAAAAGAAATGTAATGAATACATAACTGATAGTCAGTTTCTACGATACTAGCTAATAACAATACAGATATCTGGACAGATTTAGAAAGTTATTTGAAATACCTTCAAAACTAAGAGCTAATAGTAGAATTGGAACGATACAGAGTAGATTAGCATGACTCCTGAGCAAGGATGACACGCGAAATCGTAAAGCGTTCCATATTTTCCACACTCTATTCTCATATTCCAAATCCACACTCCCTGTCAGTACAACCACTCAGTGTGTTGGTTGATGCCACACAGTTCACTCACTCTCCAAATGGATAAAAATTCTAATATTAAAAAAACAGTTTAAGAACACTTCAATAAAGTTCTCATTCTAACATTCTATTATATACCTAATATCAGTTATCATGTGTTGGTTATGTTTATATTAATTTGTTTAAATTTATCTAAATATTTACAAGCGAAAATGGATAGTGGGTAGTCAGTGGAATCCAGGACGCGCGTTTCATCCTATTTGAGACTCGTCATCAATACTAAGTGAATATCTAAATCTGTTTGATTTGAGGAAACTTTAGTTTCCATATGAAAGTAATCATCTGTGTAATGAGGTAAATAAAAGCGACAAATTTGAACATCCTTTACACTTTGATAGTTTCATATCGTAAATTCCTTTATGTTGAAAAGTTTGTTGTTTATATATTTAAGCAATTTACATAAGTCTAACTTTCTCTTTCGTCAATATTAATCATTATCACCTTGATTGATAATGAAAAAGCATTTGTTTGAATTCACTCTGGATTGATATCAATACGATTCAAAGTGTGGAGGGTTGAATAGTTGTTTCGTCTTACGATATCACATAACGAAAGTACGAAATTCTGATCTCGTTAAGAGAACAATAGAATGGTTGACGAAATTACACCAACTACATAATGTACAGGTGAGGAAATTGTTATGTCAATCTGTGATAGTACACCATGATAGACAGATAGATATCAAGGTCATCAACTGTAATTAAACTCAATGTTCTGAAATTCCGTTAGACAAACTAGCAAGCAATGTGATCGGTTGATTGATGTCATTGATAAATGTCAATAATCGGTTGTATGAAAGGACTCACTGGATCACATAAGACAGACATTAGATTTAATGTGGTTATTTTTAATTAGGTTCACACAACTCATTCAATGTCTGTGTATAGAGAATTTCAATCGGAACACAAGAAAATCTGCGGCAAGTGACTGACATTCGGTTGACTGATTTACTGACGGATTTTGTTTATTCATTAAAATTGATGATACTTATGGCACTTTGCAATATTTCAAGCAAGTGACTATCAGGACTCAGTAGCTGAGTGGTTAAAGCGTTGACAATTGAAGCGAGAGGTACAGGATTCGAGTCCCAGAGTGAACATGAACTCAGATTCTGGTACATCCATCGGACGAATCCCAAATGGGAAGAAACGCGCGTCAAACTGAATTCTACTGCTCGCCATTATCCATCTTTGCTTATAAGGCTTTACAAAGACGGTATTACTGAATACATATAAAGGAAATACCTGTATTGGAACATGTTTCTTCCACTCCCAAAGGCTATGAAATAAATCAATTCCTAATCCATACATAATGATTATTTATGTTTTGTAGTGTTATATTACATCATTCTATTTGTCAAGCTGTACACTTTAACTCATTCCATGAAGATCACATCAACACGGTACTGGAATGTCATGTCTTCGTACTTTCGGATATTCTCAATTAAAAACTACATCACATAACATCTATCTTGGTGTAGTTTGCATTTGGCCTATTTCTCTTTCCTCATCTTTCGTTGATATCAATAGACACTTAATTTTACAAGCTGTAATTTATTGTATACTATCTAGTATTCTATATTGCTGCTTAACTTTAAATAAAAGATTTCGCTGTGTTGAGTAGTTGAGTAATCAAGGGTGATGATCCTTTCGACGTCATTATAAGCAAGATTATGCATAAATATTCCATCTCTTGTAAACAAATCGTAATGTTGATATTATCGGATACAAATCATCCACTCAACTCAGATTATCCACTCTGTATAAGGATGTGTCCACATTTTGAAACGTATGAACGATCAAAAATGCAGTATCTATGATGTTGTCTATCTGACAAACAGTTTGTTGAAACTGATTTAATCAAAATCCTATAATTATGAATATTCACATAATTAACCTTTGCATAGATTCGAAATTTCTCACAAGAAAATTTCATTACATTTGACAATAGTGATGTTGTCTACAGGGAGTAGGAGAGTTTAGTTGAAATATTGTAAGCTGAAGATTCACTGTTGAATTATATGTCAAATATTGAATGAAGTTAATACAAACAAACGTCAGATCCACTCAACACAGAATACACGTACAAAGATGGAATAATGGAATCCTGAAGGTCGAAGGGGAAGAGGAAGACAAAAGAACACGTTACGCCGAGAAATAGAGACAGACATGAGAAGAATGAACAGAAGATGGATAGAACTATCAGGGAAGGCCCAGGACAGAGTGGGTTGGAGAAAGCTGGTCGACGGTCTATGCTCCATTGGGAGTAACTGTCATAAGTGAAGTGAAGTGAGATGTACAATTCCAACAGTATTTTCGAAAATCGCTACTCACCACATGAATTACAACAATAAAACAATCTGATTTTAATGAAATATATTCAATTATAAATTGTGACTAATGGCTACATAGATGTACATAATTGAGTAATACCAACTCAAAATAGTTACACATTTCAATGAAAGTTGATAATACAAATATATTCAAGGAAAGTATTGGATTACTTCAGTGAAAACTTGAATACAAATACGCTTAACAAATATTGAGGAAATAAGTATATTTGCCAGTACAATTAATATCTACGTTTCGGATATACGCGTAGATCACGAACTCTACGTCCGTATTGAACGTTCCTTGACACATTTTCTTCGATTTTCTTTAATGGCTTCTGTCCATGTTGTGTATGAGCACGACTAGTTTGTAAACTGTTTTGAGGAATATTTTGCATCATTGGGCACATATGACGTGGTTTCACTTCATATGGTTTCTCATTATTCCAATTACCCCTAAAACAATCAACACAATAGAAGTTCAGTTACATTCACTATGAGAACAACAACAAGGTAATTGCAAACAATAACATTTCTTATCACATAATCAACAATCACTTACCCTGGACCATAGTTGCACACGATTGATAGACCGTACCGTGGACATTTCGCAACTCCACATCCAATGTCTGTGGTCTTGGCCCAAGCCATCTGAAACGGAATGTGAACAAGTGAATAATGTGATCGGTCGATCAATTGCAAAACTTTACATTGTGTTTCAATATGATATGTGTAGTTACACTACTTGTAGGTGGAGATAATATTGTCACCTCAAAGAGATACATGTGAAAATTCCAGTATGTGTTCAATGAATATGTTTACGCTTAGTGCAGTTATGATAACGAATTGAATTCTACACAATACTCACTCACTCACACACTCACTGACTCATTCATTCTATCTCATGTGAACAGTCGGAATCATCTCACTGATCACAACATCGTGATTTTCCATCTATTCACAATGAATTTCTATTGATTTGCTTCAAATGTTGTCTTTGTGAATAGTGTTGACAGTGTGATTAGCATTTAAATTAAGATTTAAATCCACTCGTCATAGACAAATTTCCTATCTGTTGTTTTACACTGAATCACACTACCTCTCAACCAAACACACAGATTCAACTATTATCAAGGGTTGTGAATACCTGTGTGTGAATAACTGCAATGATCGGATTACGTGCATTTACTTGTGTTTTCGAGTCACATCCATACAAATGTGAAATCACTTCATTGTTATCACACATTCGTTGTGCGTTATTATTATAGGTGTGAAGGGTGAGTGGCACATGACTGTAGGGAAAATTCTATTCAAGTGGATGAGAATGGACTCACTTGTGTGTAATGCAAACATTGAGGACAGTTGTTCGTATTGTAATTGTATAATTTGTGCTCATTGAACCAAGCATCCACTCCTCTGAATCAGAAATCAGTGAATAGAATGTGAATGAGCTTACGACTTAATGGTTGGATGGAGAGCGATATTTTGTCCAACCCAAATGAATTGTTTCGAATATCGTTTATCGTGTTGTAGGACGCATTGTTTTGCCAATGATTGTGCTTGTCGAGCTAAATCGTGATTCCACTTCTACAAATAAACGTTACGTGCTTGATATTTGAAGAAGTGATTGAATAGTAACTTACCAATGGTGACATATATTTAGCTGGAGGTTGTCCATCAACTTTACAGTCAACTAAATCCTGTCTGTATTTTCTATGCAGTTCGAGTAGTTCGCGGCTATTCTTATCCAAAGCATTGTTACAATAGACATTTTCATTAAAGAATAATAGAATGAATAGTGTGCACGTAAGACACAGTATAATTGAACGCATGGTTACTGAGATCTAATCTTCATTATGTATAGTGCAGTGTTGTATATATATATTTTTCTGATTAGTAATATTATTGAAAAATAAACAGTAAATGTGTGTGAAATTTTGTGTTGTACAGATAGTAAGAAATTAGGAAATTGACAAGAAATACTCTCGACCAGGTCACTCAATCAGTCAACCGAATGCCAGTCACTTGCCGCAGATTTTCTTGTGTTCCGATTGAAATTCTCTATACACAGACATTGAATGAGTTGTGTGAACCTAATTAAAAATAACCACATTAAATCTAATGTCTGTCTTATGTGATCCAGTGAGTCCTTTCATACAACCGATTATTGACATTTATCAATGACATCAATCAACCGATCACATTGCTTGCTAGTTTGTCTAACGGAATTTCAGAACATTGAGTTTAATTACAGTTGATGACCTTGATATCTATCTGTCTATCATGGTGTACTATCACAGATTGACATAACAATTTCCTCACCTGTACATTATGTAGTTGGTGTAATTTCGTCAACCATTCTGTTGTTCTCTTAACGAGATCAGAATTTCAAGTACGTGAACTGAACAGTCTACACTCATAAGAAAATATTTCACACTTGACAATGATCTGATCATTGAGTTTATTTATGTCTAATGTAATCAGCTATTTTGTATGGTGTATTTCATTGCGTTCATCAGAATATAGAGATGTACTGAACAAATGTCTTGATCACTAGCGTGTTTTACTACGCTCATGCGTCCTGATCAAACTTTAGGTCATGATGTCCAGCAATACCACTGTTACAATCTTTTTAATCCTTCTTCAAAAATCATCAGACTACTAGGGTTACTTCAATAATATTAAAGTTTTACCATTTTGAATGCTATCACATTTTTGCTTCAAGCCTCAATGGAGTCCCTTCAACTCTAACTAACCTGTTGGCTATTCGACATATGTTTTATTGTACAATAGATATGTCATTGCATCTACTTTAAGGCTACACAACTTTGGACACCGTTCAAAGTGTTGCTTATTAGTACACCTCTTGTAAAAACCAATATATCTGCGTTTGTTTTTAAGTGTTGTTCAAGTGATATTTTGCTAATGTGCGTCTGGTTAATTACATTGTATCTAAACCTTTATTCATCATCAATGTACAATTCTATTTCTATTACAGAATATCATATTCTCTTGTGAAGTTGGTGCCATCATATTTTGTAACAGTGACGTATTTACGAGACCGAATCACTAACACCATGCATATTGCCTACATCTTTCTAAATGTTGTAAAGACAAATGTAACACCCTATCGAAGAGGATCGAATGATGAGAACAAAAATAGATCATAATCACAAAGAGAAAACTCAAATACTACTGACAATGCAAATGATACTGATCTAACTTAGTTATTACATACAGAAGACAGTTCAAATTGTAAATGTGGTAAAAAAAACACTGAATTGGCATTGTCAGTCTGATTATCCGAGTTGACCAATACCAAAACTATTTGATCCACTCTTCACAAATGCCTAGAACTTGTCAATGTTATGAAAAACCGATTGTCACTATGGAAGTCTTGCTTTCTTAGAAAACATAGGACATTTAAGATAACTGACACACTATGGTACCATTGAGTTTGATAATATTCCATTAGAATATCCAACGTCATAAGATGTCGAGGAACGATCAAATCTGACCAATTTATCTCAACTAGATTATCATGTGGGAAAATCTATCTCAAGTGCATCACTACAAGTAATTATTCATAAACGAAAAACAAATTTTACGCGCTTATTAGAGTTTGTAAGTGTATCTCTCCTATGATTAGCGATGTTTCTCTCATATCCCTGTTATTGAATTGGCATCCAAGTGTACAAGTGATTAGGTATTAAACTTTAGAACTTAATGTTGATACTAACAATAAAATGCAGCTGACAAATCGTCTGTTCGTATTGGGTGTGGATCTTGTATTCCTTAGTCAGTTATAGTTGGAAACACATCTTCTCTATTCATGAGCGATCTATGCTTTACTTTGAGTATTAAGCATTCCGTAATTTCAATTCAATTTCCTACTCTTGAAAACACCAAATGTACATAAGTTTTGATCAAAATGATGGAATTCACACAGATTGATACGATCTCGCACTGAAATATGGACGGTATATTTCGAAGACTTTTATTGACCCGATCGATATCTGATTCCAATTGGATCGTATGAATATCATTGAAATGTACATATCGCTAATCCTCGTATATAATTATTGACTTGAATCTCGTTGATCAATAACGGAATTAAATAAGTCAAATATGAGAATGGATGTTCGAACATGTATACATTGTACTCATTGATCTGTACAGACAATCAGAGGGACGAAGGGAAGGAAGCAAATGAAGTGAAGAAATCGAATTAAAGAGAGCGAAGCGAGATGGCTCACAGTGGAGGTGTGTGAACCAACTGTGATGTTTGAATGAACTAATGACTTCATTGTATTGATGAATATTTTGATTTTGAATTCCAAATACAATAGATTCGTTTGTGATCACCTAATACTTCTTGATTAAATTGCGTTATTCCTGGGATTACTTGTTTATACTACAATCCAAATACTTCTCATTATCACACTGGCGTCGTGATTGAGCCTGTGACGGAACGGTTAGATATAAATTCAGATTTTAACGCTTTTGAGGATTACAAGGAGAGGTTCGAAGTCTGGGCTATGACCACGGAAGATGATGATGGTTTTAATATTGTGGCCCATTTCTCTACATTCATCGAAAAAGAAACATACAGCCTTATAAAGACTTTGACACTTCCAGACAAACCGATTTCACTCCCCTATGCAACCGTCAAGGAATTACTGTTGGACCATGTGAAGCACATAAATTTGGAATGCTGTAAAGGAGAAAAATCCGATAAAATAACTCGCCAGAACATCAGGAATTCCACTATTTTACTAAGTCGTCGCAGTTCGATTTGTAATCAAAGTTATTCAGATAATACATCATTGAGCTGTGAAACAGTACACGCAGATGAGCACGAGTTTTAGCCAATATGACGTTCCCAATTTGCATTATCTTCTCAAATCTCACACTTCGATTACTGTATTTGGGGATAAACACTGATATGTAATTTGAGATATTCCATTATGTGACTTTGACCTGAATAAAAATCATGATACATATTCTTTTTGTTATTCATATTTGAATACACAAACAGATATGCATTGATATGTGTAATTAACGCATGTGACTCATCTAGGCTTGATTTGCCTGCGAAACAATCGAATGCAAAACATTCATCTGCTTCATGCTCATTAGGATAATCTTGGACTTGATTTGGATTCTCTCTGTGCAAACTTTACTTCTGGGCAAACTGGTTCTCTGATTGCTTCAAGAAATTATACAATCCCCTCTGATTCATCATACCGCTGACTAGGGATTCTACTCAACAAACACTGTTCGTGAGAATATGCAATATCTGGTACAATAACATCAGAAATGTGACTAGAATTCGACTCATTAGGAACATACTTGTCACATTCGTTAGGAATATCACTAGAGATAAATTCGTTGTAATAAATCAGAATTTGATTTTTCTGTAATATTTCCCTCAAATTTATTAAGAGTTTCAATAGAGAATAATGGATCATTAAGAAAATCAGCATCTACCGAAATTGAATCTGGTTTTTGATCATGATTCGACTCATTCAACATTTTATTCTCATAGTTGCAAGGAATTTCATCAGAAGTATGTGAATGATTACGACAAACGTTATTTTGTACAATAACATGAGAAATGCGATAAGAAGTTCGTTGATTAAAATTTTTGCCTCACAATGATTATGGATTTCATTCAACTCTGAACTGTTAGGTAACGTTATACCACTTCTAGATAAAGATAACTGATCATTAGAAACATCCATCTTAGCGTTATTTTCAGCGAAATGAACCATGGTATAACAAACTGACTAAATGTGTCCAGTTTTACCATATTTAAAGCATTTGAAATTACGAAATACACATGAATTACATGGGTGAAACTTCCGCAGAACAAGCATTTATTAAACTCGTGCTCATCTGCGTGTACTGTTTCACAGCTCAATGATGTATTATCTGAATAACTTTGATTACAAATCGAACTGCGACGACTTAGTAAAATAGTGGAATTCCTGATGTTCTGGCGAGTTATTTTATCGGATTTTTCTCCTTTACAGCATTCCAAATTTATGTGCTTCACATGGTCCAACAGTAATTCCTTGACGGTTGCATAGGGGAGTGAAATCGGTTTGTCTGGAAGTGTCAAAGTCTTTATAAGGCTGTATGTTTCTTTTTCGATGAATGTAGAGAAATGGGCCACAATATTAAAACCATCATCATCTTCCGTGGTCATAGCCCAGACTTCGAACCTCTCCTTGTAATCCTCAAAAGCGTTAAAATCTGAATTTATATCTAACCGTTCCGTCACAGGCTCAATCACGACGCCAGTGTGATAATGAGAAGTATTTGGATTGTAGTATAAACAAGTAATCCCAGGAATAACGCAATTTAATCAAGAAGTATTAGGTGATCACAAACGAATCTATTGTATTTGGAATTCAAAATCAAAATATTCATCAATACAATGAAGTCATTAGTTCATTCAAACATCACAGTTGGTTCACACACCTCCACTGTGAGCCATCTCGCTTCGCTCTCTTTAATTCGATTTCTTCACTTCATTTGCTTCCTTCCCTTCGTCCCTCTGATTGTCTGTACAGATCAATGAGTACAATGTATACATGTTCGAACATCCATTCTCATATTTGACTTATTTAATTCCGTTATTGATCAACGAGATTCAAGTCAATAATTATATACGAGGATTAGCGATATGTACATTTCAATGATATTCATACGATCCAATTGGAATCAGATATCGATCGGGTCAATAAAAGTCTTCGAAATATACCGTCCATATTTCAGTGCGAGATCGTATCAATCTGTGTGAATTCCATCATTTTGATCAAAACTT